GAAACCCAAGGAGCACGGTGTTAAACATCTTGACCACGCCCTTACTTTGCCGCGTGGAATCTGCTATAAAATAAAGACTCGGCTTACAGGCCATGGTTCTGTCTCTCCATCAGAGAAGCAGCGTCCCACGTAGCCCCAGCTTTCTTCTCTTGTCTGTCTTCTCCATCCTTCACCGCCCCCCTCAGGTTCACCCATGGCTGTGCCGGCTCGGCACAGGGGGGAACCTAGGGTTTCCTGCAACCTGGCCATTCCGCCCTGTCATCGGGTGAGAGAGCGTGAGGACAGAAGGTGCAGATTCTGGCAGCTGGTCTCCTGGATTTCTGAGGACCTGGGAAAGGGCTCAGGTGCGGGGCAGAAAGCTGCTGGGGGCTGGGAGGGAAGGTGGGGAAATATGCCCCAGCCGAGGTCCTCCAGACCACAGCCTTCCATGGAATACCCCCCTCCCCCACCGAAGGAGAGGCTGTGGGGTTGGGGGGCTGGAAGAGGGGCTGAGGAGTCCTGCCAACACGCCCCTCCCTTCCCAAGCAGGATGTCCTCAGACATAAGGACGCTGGCTCCTCGTTTCTCTCGGAGTCATGTGGGGGGCACTAAGCCTGAGTGTGGGGGTGAAAGGGTCTAGCTCTCCAGGCTCCTGGAAAGGTAAGAGGATGGGACAACCTTCACAGGAGCAGAGCAGAGTGGCTGGAAGACCCCTGCTGAGGCAGATACACCTGGGGCGGAGGGGGGGTACCCGCTTACTCCCACCAGCACAGACCCACTGTGGGGGGTGGGTTGGAGGGTGGGGGGACTTCACAGAGACCAGGTCACCCATGGTTTGTCTCCAAGCACCCAAAGTAAGGTCAGCACCCAACATATTTGCTCCAGCCCCTCTGCCCTTAGCCTCACCTTCAAACACGTTGCCTCATCTTTGGGGACCCTACAGCCCTGCCCCTGTCCCCCAGGATTTCCTCAGCCAGAGCTACCATGGAGACTCCTGCCCCACTCCTGGTCCCTGTGTCAGGGAATCAGCTGAGAGGAGCAACACTCCTTTCAGAAGCGGTGGTGGTGGTGGTGGTGGTGGTGGTGTGTGTCTGTCGGGAGAGAAGCTGATAGCTAACAAAAGGGAGAGGCGTGTGGGTGAGTCAGCGTGTTAATGAGAAACGCCTCACCCCGCTGATTAGGACTAATGAAGAAGAACAGAGGGGGTGGGGGGTTCACGCAGCGACATCTCTAAAGGGTAGGGGGAACGGAACAGCTCCCCCCACCCCCCAGTCCCCTTTCTCTCTCGGCAAGGACAAGAACAGAGCAACTCTGGCTAGTGCAGGAAGAACTGAGGTCACACATAGGAGTGACCCCAAGGGCAAGGGGTCCTACCTGGGAAGCGGTGGCTGAGGTGTCTGGGGCAGAGGCCAGATAATGGGAGGAGAGCATGTGGTGTGAGATCCTCTAGCACCTGCCCCTCTGCCTGCCCTTCCCTGACTTCTCCGTGTTAGCGCTAGGGAAATGCCTGGCACCCAGAGCGGTGCCCCCTGGCTGCCCGAGTGCCTCTCGAGATCTCACAGGTACTGCAGGGGCCGGGCAGGTACTGCGAGAAAGCTCCAGTGTGTGTCCTTCAATGGGCATCCTGGGCGAGAAGGCCCTGTGTGAGGGCATTGACTGTCTAGATATCAGTGCCCCCGAGAGGCCTGGCAGGGCGGAGAGCAGGAGGGGACGGGGTAGGGAAGGACCTGGGCATCAGCTGGAGCCCTCTTGGTCCTTTTGGTGTCAGCCCCTGTTCTTGTGGCAGAAGCAGAAACCCTGAGACCCGGCAGCTACACCCACCCTCCATGCCAACTCAGCCACGGGCAAGGGCACCAGGCGTGCCTCGCAGATGTTCCAGTCGACTGTGTGAGTGTGGGCACTGGGGGAGGGCCTGGGAGGGGGACAGGATGGGTGTCGGCCAGCACCTCCGACACCTCCTCATTTGCATTACCACTGACACCCTTCTTGACCAAGTAAATGGAGCCAGAAATAACAAAGGGGGAGGTGGTTCCCTGGGGGTGGGAGGGTGGGGGGGGGCTTTGAGACTGTCTTTCCTTGCCTCCAACACTCACACGGTGCTGGGGTCAGGAGGTCAGGCCTTTTGCAGCCCCACAGCTGCCTCCTGGCAGGGGAAATGCACCCACTGTGGCTCCTCCCTCCTCAGGTTGGGCAGACACCCCATCTCGGCCTCCCACATCCCTAAGCCCCAGACACCCCAGTGCTGCCCCTTTCCTTCTTCAGAGCCGACTCCACACACCCTTCTCCGGAGAACCCCGTCCC